GAGTAGCCGGTATCGTACCAATGGCCGGGTACGATACTGAATACCGTACCTTGCTCGGCGATACCGCCAAAAATCACCTTGGGTATTGTAGCCGTAGCCCGGGTACGATACCCGGGTTACGATACCCGGGGTCCCGGATACGGTGCCACACGATACCGATACTAGTGGTATCGTATCTGTGGCGGCCTTGCCTTGACAGCATTTAGGGTACTCAAAGCATCTATGTAGCGCTACATATGTAGAAAAATAGAGCCAAATATAGAAATATAGTTTTTTTTGAAACTATGTGACAGTTATTTTTTTTCACATAATTTCTCTTCTGCTCCGGTTCATCTCCAGCCATCTGTTGCCCTTTGGCAGTCAATCTCGCAATTCATAAGCCCCGCATCTCCACAATCACACTTCACCATGTCCGATAGACCACCATCACCACAAAATACGGACAGCAACTCAACAAGTATCTCACCAAACAGCTCAGCCACCTCCTTGAACAGCCTAACGTTGAACGAAGTCCTGTCAAGTCTTCGTTCCCCTCCGGTCTCAGTGTTTTCATCAATTTCACCACACCACCATCCCCTTCTTTCTTCATCAACTCCTTCAGTTATCTATACGTATCCCAGTCATCCTCCTCTCCAGGAACTCTCACAAGCCCATCTCGCGTCTGTGCCAGTCTCGCCAACTCCAGCTATCTCAATGGCAAAACCAGCCAAGAAGACTCGTAATAAATCAGCTAAATTGTCTCAATCAACCTCTTCAACCAAGACCACCACTCCCAAAGAAACTAAACCGCAGATGGCTTGGGGGAAAGATACGAATTCAGAGGGCAAGACACCTATAGAATTGATAGTCGAGTGGTTAGGTTTTACTTGGGGTGATCAAGAGGCCCCAAGTGATGCTGTTTGGATGTGCATGGAGAAGTATGATCATACCTCAACCAACTTTTCCCGATATCGAGCTGGTGTACCAAAGAAGCGAGAATGTGCTGATAGATGCGCTATCTACCTGCGCACCAAGGGATTCCCTACTGTAGATGGGCCCGGTGTGAAACAGCAGGTGCGTTGTCTCATTTTCACGAATACTGACCTCAATTTGTATTTCTGATTGTACTTTTTCTTGGTTTTATAATTCTAGATCACCACATTGGAACAGAAATTTCATAAGGCCGAGACTTGGCGAGATGGCACGGGCGGTGGTATTTTCAAGGACCAAGCTGAGGAAGAGATCGAAGCTCGACGAAGTGTTGCACAGGACGGCGAGTGGGATTCAGACATGGAAGATGAGATTAGGGCATTGGCTGCGAAAAGAACCAAGGGTATGCAAATCTCGATTTGTCTCGTTGAACCCCAATTACGATTCTGACCCATTGCAATCTCCTTGATCAGATGCGATACTTTCACACTGCGCTTACTATGATGCCCTTCAACCACTCATGGGTCAACACCCTAATAATCTCCCCTTAGCCTCGGCCGAAACCCCATCTCCTTCGAGTTCAATCCCACCAGCTGCTTCGACTTCAATGGCACCAACTCCTTCAAACACCATCCACCCTAACCCTTTGACCTCGATTGACTTGACTAGTGGCCAAATTGACGAAACTCAATCTACTCAGATCAGTGGCTGGGATTCTACCCAATCAGTTAATCCCCATCTCGAATCGATTGAAGACTTTGATCTACCTGACCCAAACGATCTGACCGATGATCAACCCAGCTCCAACGATATGATTGCACCCAATATACAATCTCAGCCTTTACAGCGAGCCTCCAGCTCTCAATCTCAAACTCCAGCAAGAAACAAAGTTTCTTCCGAAGCCAGTCAAACGCCAAAAAACAGCTCGAGGCGATCTTCCGGCAGCGCTGCTGTACTCAAGTCGATGAAGTCCTCATTACCTAGTCAAACTGATTTTCAAGAGATGAATATGAATGCTAAAGAAACAAACAACACCAATCGATTGATGCTTCAACAAACGGCAGACACTCACAACACTGTCATCGGGTTGTTAGGGGCCAAATTTGGCCTACCGTCATCTTCTTCCAAACACTCTTTGGAAGAAGAGGATGCAAATGTATTAGCAAATAAGAAAGCCAAGAGGGCAAAACAAGACGAGCTGGATCTTATCCGTTTGGAACGCGAATTGGCAGCTGAGCGTAGGGCTTTTGAAAATGAAAAGAGTGGATCTGGATCAAAAATGTCACCGTTGGAGTTAACCCGCGAAAAGGTGGATATGGTAGCTAAATTAACGCTCTCGCATGTTCCTCTTGAAAAGGCCCAGCAGATGGTTGAGGAAATGCTCAAGGACTTGTAATGAGGAAGATCAAAAGATCTCAAGTCGATTAAGAAGCTCAACTTTGTTTGTTTGTTCTCTGACTCAAAAAATTCAACTTTTTTTAATTCTATCTTCCTATCGAAAAAAAATTCAATCAGAAAAAAAAATTCTCTGACTCAAAAAATTCAACTTTTTTTAATTCTATCTTCCTATCGAAAAAAAATCCAATCAGAAAAAAAAATCTTTTTAAAATCTGGTCGTGTATGTTATATTTCTTATAGATATATAAAAAACCTTTGTATCGTTTCTCAAACCAAAATGCTAATCCTTTTTTGGAAAAAAGGCTGAGTCTTACAATGAAATACAATCTCTTTATTAATGGCACATTTTGCCTTTTTCCAAACCGATCGTTCTTGATTGGTTTGGAAAAAGGTCTTGTGGAATGACGAGTTAACAAAAAACCAAAATAACTTTTCATCATATCGACTTCTTTGCTAAATACAAGATAACTAGCTGTTACGGAAAACCCTAAACTCTTGTAACAGAGTGTTGCGTCTACCATATGCAGCACCCACATCGTCCACTGCCCCATCCAACAGTCCAGCCTCGTCTGCATCAAACTGGTCTTGAGGATGATCTGGAGTCTCAGGATTCCAAGTGTCGCGGTATTTAAGTGTAAAGTTGTGTAGCATACAGCACACTCGTAGCCAGATGACCGCACGATCAGCTGAAGGAATATCTTTGATCATAATCCGTAAGTCTTGTAATGACTGAAATCGAAGTTTTAATTGACCATTGCCGTGCTCGCTGACAACTCTTTGTTCACTGAGAGCCTTGTTGAAGTCTTTTTTCACTGGATCTAGAATTTGCAAACGTGGGCTTTTGAAAGTAGGAATGAGATTCTTCGAGCACGAGTAACCTGAGTCGGCCAAAATATACTCCTTCTCGCCAAAAAAAAGTTGTGGTTCTTGTGCAAGCTATACATGAATGTCAGGTTCCATCTCAATGAGCCTGATAGATGTGAGTGACTTACCCGTGTTGATGAGTACACACGTTGATCGTGTGCACTTCCACACCACCCGTGTTTTTGATATATAATCCGGCCTTGGTGATCACATACTAAGAGGGAATTGAGAGCATAGATATGCTTACGGGTCCAAAAATCTTCCGGGTGGATGCTTGGTGCAAATGCCAGTGGTATGAGAGTCCCGTCTATGAAGCCAACACAGTCCTTGAAGAATGAATTTCTTGACATATGATTCTTGATTCCATTTCTCTCTTCTTGATTTGGCCAGTAGAGAAATTCGTCTTCATATTTCAAAATTGCCTCAAAGCAACGATGCGTGAAATTGTGAGCTGAGCCCTCTGAAAAGTTTAAAGGTAAGTTGTGTATCATACTCAAAGGGTAAGTCGATGTGTTACTTACCACTCAGACCAAACATTTGACCTATCATAAGAGCGCTACCGCCGTTCCCGCTCGATCCAAGGTGGTATAAAGTAATGAGTAATTGCCATGCAACAGGTGATTGAGGTTGAGACGAGTTGTTCTGGAACACAAGATCATCTTTGATGAGATCCAACAAACGATAGAAGTTGTCTTTTGACATTCGGGCCTGTTAGAATCAATTCCGCAAGATCAGTTAAAGAGAACCACCTCGATATAAAACTGTAGAACAATTGGGAAGGCTGACAAATCGGCGAAAGGTTCTATCGTTGCCATTGAAAACTGCGCTGAACTTGAGTTCTTGGAACAACATAAGTCTATTGTGGGTTCGTGGTTCAACGTATCGGAGGTAAGTGAGGTCTTCCAAAGCTTGAGCAAGATCTATTGAAAGCTTGAAAGCCTGTTGATGAATGGCCTGCTGAGACATGGTAAGTTCTTGAATCCGACCGCTGGAGGTGATGAAATTCTCGAAGGCATGAAGAAGCGATAGCAGGGAGACTAATGTGATTTCTTCATCTTCAGAGTCGTCGTCGTTCAATAAAATGGTAGCCACAGTGGTCGTCATTTCCATATGAAGGCAGGTGTATAAGGTGATGTAAGATGGGGGTTGGGCGGTGGCGAAGAGCATACCCAACGTATCGGCTGAGAGTCGAATGAGCTCTGTGGTGAGTTCGTCCTTGTGCCCAGCGCGAGGCATGATGTTGTATGTAGCCAACAACGGAAAGACTATGCCAGCAGCCAGTTGGGGTCCTCAAAGCTACAGGTACATATGTCAAAACATAGATTTTTTTCCCCGCAAAAAAAAAATCTATATTTCTATGTTGCGCTACATATGTAGCGCCACATAGATGCTTTGAGTACCCTTATTGATCAGAGTGTTGACTCTCAAGACAGCTAATCGATTTTAATGTCAGCTTTCAATCATCACCGAGTTCATTTTCAAACTTCACCAAAACAAACAACAACAACACCATCATCACAACCACAACCATGGTCAGAAAGACACAAGAAATTATCAAAACTATTAAACACTCTAACCAATTCAAATCATCTAAACTTGAACCATCATCTCATCAATCATCACTTCATCTAAACTCAATCCATCATCAAACTGATCATCAAACTCATCAACTTAATTTCAAAACTGGACTATTAATCGAACTTTCAAACAAATTATTACATCAGAATTCAAATCATCATCTTATTCATCAATCATCATCTTTTACTGAAATTAAATTATTAAAACGTGTCATTGAATCTCAACTTGATCCTAATTCAGATTTCATTAAAATGCGTGAATTATCTTCAAGTGAATCTGGAAAGGTATCTTGATTTATTCATCATTGACTTTTCATGTTTTAATGAATTTTTTCTAATCTTGACACAATTTGAATCATGGGGGTTTTCTTTGGTTTGGTTTGGTTTGGTCAGGCTGAATTGGTGAAAAGTCGATTATCAAAAGATGAAGGAAGAAATCAAAGAAATGTATTTGTACTAAAGACAATATACAAAGCAGCTGCTATTAGAACGAGAAAAGTGAGTCGGATGATCTTCAAAAACATCTTCTTAATCCAAAAAAACGATTTACCAAAAGATTTCTTCAAACTAATCCACTTCTTTGGGTCGTACTTTTCACAGCCACTGCCAGCATTAAAGAGGTTCCCAGATGGGAATATGTAGATCATCAGAAACTCATCAAAGCTCATCACTCAAAGGAACTTTACATAACTGACGTGCTTCGTTTCAGTCAATCACATCATTGTACATCTTAAGATTGTATTTACCTGGAGGAACTTTATCAGATCTGATGATCAAACGTCAAGAGTTCAATTCAAACTCAATTGAAGATCATGAAGATAAACCGATTGTAAAACAATGGATCATGGAAATCGTTTTAGGCCTCCATACATCATTGGGTACACAGGGATTTAAATGCCAGCATACATCAAAGTTTTACAAAAAGAATTTGCTTAAGCCCTCGAAGCTCTCGATCCGAGCAATTCATCTCTCTTCAAATGCATCAAAGAAATCTAAGGAAGATACCTGGTGGGTAGAGAACATTCGGATGACATCTGATGCTCTATGACCCGAGTAAGCTTATTGAATCCTTTGTCTCTTGACTCGTAATTGACAATAACATCACACTAAACATCTTTTGACAATGACATAGCCCTACATTCCTTGATTCAGCCTTACCACTCAGCATGGCCTTACTGAAATCAATTATACAACAAGAAGCTCGATGTTGCACAAACAAACGATCAAAACCCTAAGATCCTTTTGATTAGCAGTGATTAAAGATTGATCTAATCTCTTTTGTCATCCAACTACCTTGACTAGATTAGGGGTTTGGTTAGTAGATGCAGTAAGAGATTCAATTAGTGGATCAAATGGAAACAGTATTGAATCAAACTCAAGTAAGAAAAGACCTGAAAGTTATCCATGTGTGATTGCAAATTTTGATGAAATTAGATATTGTCATTTAGTGGTTGGTGTTAATGGTGCAGCTCAATATGGCGATGTCAGAAAAAAGTGAGTTTTTTGACTTCTTTTATCTCTCAATGAATTTCTCATGAAATCAAGCAAAACAAAAATGAGTTTTTTCTATTGTTGATGATGTTTTTGTAAACAAAATTGCAAACTTGGTTTAGCATTTCAAGAAGCAGCTCAAACTTCTGGTGCTAGAGCTAGACATGATAGGTTTGAAGAAGGTGTAATTGAAGTTAGAAAATATGATTTAATGAGTTTTGGACAAAAGTTACATCTTAGTCCTTAACAATAATCTTTCCTCTTAGATCATCTCTGTTTTCAAATTAGGTTTGCTTTTCTTTGGTGTGTGTCTGTGTGTTGTTTGGTGAGGGTTGGAATGAATTCTTGGTATTCTTGAATTAAATTTATGTAGATATACAAATTTTATATACTATATACTTATCAACTTGTATTAGTAATATGATTGAAATTGGATTGGGCATTTGTATACCCATCATCAGTCACTTGCCTCTTTTATGCAGAGTTTTTTCTCTTTATATACCATTTATATCATTTCTTAAAGTTCCATCTACATTGTTTTCTGTTGCTTCAAGTAATTGATTGATTGTGAATAAATGTTTGCCAAGGCCAACATGTGTTGTGAAATCAAGTGATCTGCTGACACTTCCGGAAAAGATATCAATCTTACTGCAATCAACCTGAACCAGCCCCACAGTAGGTTGCCTTTTTTGGAGTCAACAAATTCCTTACAATAAGACTTTTGTATTTTGACCACACAAGTCATATGCAAACACTAATGCTGATATGTAGCTGATATATGCTTGCAAAATTGGGATTCAAGTGGAAGGCAATTAAGTATCAAAATTTTACTTGATGTCTCATACCAAGTCTATGGAACAACTTGAACATCATTATGGACTACGCTATCAACCAAGACCTGCTTGCTTGGCTTCTCCTGCTGGGAACTAGGGGAGAGACATGCAAGTTGATGCAATCCATAGCCAGTGAACCCCTATCCCCAAATCCAAATTCCTAACCTTTTGATTAGTTGTCAACATCATGTTCATTAACTTTCTGATCACCAATTTTATAAATAGTCTCTCCAATATCCTGATATGGTTAATTCCTCAGAAGAAGTAGCAAAAAAAAGTTCATGCCCTTGTTGGAAAGTACTGTGCAACGGGGAAGAGAATGCCCCATCAGTACATCATTGACTTCAAAAACCAACACACTCAGTATAAATTTCCAGGAACACAATTTGACCGGGTACCGCTCTTTACTGTTGAGTCACAGCATGATCCTTTGTTGCGTACGGTCACCTCAAGAGGTATTTAATCAGTTCTGGAACGGTGTTACTTAGAATTCATTTGCTTGCAATTTGATACTTGGCTGATGAATGATCATGGAAATGTAGTGTTTCAGGAAGTGCCTTAGGGAGTGTTTGTATGTTCTCATTTGCTGAACATTATGATTCAGACAACTGGCCGATACCCACTTGTATATTCAGCCTCTGCATTGTGCATCTACTTCCAAACTTACAATCAACTGACTCACAATGGGAGCCAAAGCCGGACTTCTGGTATTTGGTATGTTGAGATTGAGTGATGGTCTAGCTAAAACCCATCTTTCTCATCATCAATGCTCCAAGATCCCACATTATCATGCTTGGTAAGCCATGTAGGCTTTGAAAGCTAAATTAGGAACCCATTTTCAATCCACTGGTGAAAACTATTGGGTTAGTCTTTGGAAAGGCTTTAGACACAGTTGAGTAAGTCTAAACATTATCATTTAGTAAAAGGAAACGACTCGGGCCACACTCATCTTTGCTACGGCCACACTTCACGTGACTTGGCTACACATACTACATACATGTATTTACTAGCCTTCAAATTCACATTCCAGATCAATGATTCAGGGAGAACCAACACAGCCATTACCACCACCACCATCTCTAAAACATTAATTGGACATACGGTGAACACTTGACATGATTATTTCATGGAAGCTGAAATGCTTGAATAACAATTACAAACTCTTGAAGAATCTAATCCGGAAGTTCATCAGCGTAATAATGCTGGATTATGCTCACAATCGCCATCGACTTAAATTGCAGGAGTCTGCAAATCGACCCCAAGCTTGATTTTTACTGTTTACCAACTACTTACTCAAGATATGAACTTGTGTTTCACTATGTAAGCTTAACAAAGCCCCTCACAAGCGCGTTCGCCGCGCCCTCAAAGAGGCCTCCGTGAACATGTGCAATTAAAAACAATCATATGATCACTTTGATCCAGTCTAAATCTTTAAAGTCTTCTATTCCTGAGAAATCCTTGGGTGATGTGAAAAACTCAGCAAACTAATTGGTGGTCTTGACTAAGCGTTTGATTCCCTGCCTCACTCCCATACCATCCAACTCAAATTGACTTTCCAATAACCTTCCTCAAGGTCTCTTGTTACCTACTGTCTCGCATCACGGAAACAATTCATTGTAACCAACTCGATTTACAATGCATTGAGCGATCATGATCAAACCTGATCAAACATGACTGTTCAACGATTACATTTAAATCATCCCTTTTCCACCTCACTCTTCCCGCTCGTTTCCCAATCCTTTGATTATCAAAGAAAAAAATATGCACAGTTACATGTAGTGTGGTTAATACTAAAATTCTAATACGGAATACTTGTATGTATGTGTAGCCAAGTCACGTGAAGTGTGGCCGTAGCAAAGATGAGTGTGGCCCGAGTCGTTTCCTTAGTAAAAGACTTCTATCTGATACCTAAGAGCTGATGTGTGGTTCAGTTAGTTTCTGGAAGATGAAGAAGATTTAGTGTTTTACAAGAATGCTAAAATTCAAGCTTTCATTAGATTGAAGGAGTCTGATTGATCACCAAGTGATTCTGGATTTGAAGTTGATCAAGCTGAATCAATTTAAATCATCATCTCCCTCTCTACATTTTACTTGAGTGCACAATTGATATCTTTTCTTTGGCTCAATTTATGCAGTTTTGATCAGATTTTTGAGTGATAGAAAAGGAAAAGGGGGATTATTGGTAGCAGTTGAATTTTTCTTAAAAATAGAGAAATATTCAAAAAAACATGAAATTGGTTAGAGATTCTATATATCTATGTATTTCTCTCTTCTTCCTTTGATAAATAGAACAATAGTAGGACAAAGTGAGAAGTAGTTTAGAATTCTATTCATTTCATCAGGAAGATCATTTTTGTTAGTCTTTTTGGAACTGAAAGCTTTTTTTTAGTTCTCCAAAAGAGCAGGTGGTAGAGAGGATTGTCAATAGGCAATATCCAGTGTTCTTGCATCCTCAATCTCATACACATGTGAATCACCACATGATAAAATCAGATATCAGCAAAAATGTAATGACTTGTCATAGTCAAAGTTTACTTTATTGGTTGCAATGTCCAAGGTATTGAATATTTACATACTTTGAGAAGAAGATTACGTGAAACATGATCCTTGATATGGCTATCATAATGCCAAATGACAGCTTTCAGAGGATGCGGTGAAATTCAGCAACTGTGAGGACAGCAAATGGTTGGGATCCAATATTTGTGATGGTATTTATTGGCTCTTTCATTGAGATATTCAATATCAGAGAAAAGTAAAAAGCCACACTCACAACGTACGTGGGCAATATAAAGGTTCCTCTGTACTCACAGAGTGGATGTACTGTTGCCCAATTGACAGAGAGGAACTCTCAAAGTCCAGGGGCTCTTGTGACATTCAGGACCAGGAATTGGGACCATTACATCAACAACTGATTATTGGACCAACCATGCACGCAACTGCACAATATATAGCCACATGGCTTAGTGTAATTCAGGAGAGCTATTGTTCAAATTATATCTCTGCCTGAAGGTGACTTAGTTTTGCAACCAAGTTTGGACAAGGGATATCATCAATATGGGGTTTAGTTGTCAAGCGCTAAATCAAATAGAAAATTACTATCCTAGCCGCAGCGCCCGCCGCTGAGACGCTAGTAACACATAATTGCCCGCTTTTGAACTTGTTATTTTTTTTTCTCGATGTGGAGCCTGGTTAACGCGTTAATAGCGTAAACGTAACTGAAAACGCTAAGCTATCGTTTTCTGATAGCGGTCAAAACCCTGAAAAGCTACGTTATCGGGGATAGCTTAGCTTTGTGAGTTACGCTAGGTGTCGGGTAAATTTTCCGTTAGAGGGTATAGCTACCCTACGCGTTACTTGTCTCGTAGCGCAGAGTTGCGCTGCTGGCTCAGCGTTGCAACAACAGCCGGAAAGGTTCTCTCCGGGACGATTTCAGAGGTTACTTCCGATCACAAGCGATCATCGGCCGCGAACTCCTTCAAGAGGAACAGAGTTCCAATCAAAACTATCGAGGTCGGAAGAATCGAAATCGTCATCAACCTTACTGAACACTCAAGAGCGAGCAATCCTAAGTAAGTTTTCTCAAATTACTCAGGATGAGTTCATCATTCCTTTCATGAATGAGCTGTTTCATCATCTTAATTTTCTAGAAAGTCATTCATCTAGAAATGCTGACTTTAATGATGCTTTTGGACAGTACTTGAATGCTATCAACAGGAATCTGGAAAGCATGTTTCTTCACTCAAAAGAAAGTATTAAGTCTGATGGTAAAAACTTTAGTGATTTATTTTCAAAACTTTTTCATCTTAATCAATGTTCAGATCAACAATATAAAACCCTTTATGATCTTGGTAAAAAGAACTTAGATAGTTTTACAAAAATAAATAAAAAATTGTTTTCTATTTTTCCTTCTGATTTATCTTTCTCTGAACTTATCCAAAATAGTAAACCAGAAAAAAAATATGTTTCTTTTTCTTCTTTTAATTTGATAAATGAAAATTTGGTTGAAGTTAAAACACTATTAGAAGAGCATTTGAGAGAAAGAAATCGTGAGATAAAAGGTAAAGCCAAAGCAAGCCTTTGTGAAGAAGAGAGAGAAAGTGAGCATGAGGAAAAAATGAGTGCTTTAGTTATGACAAGTTTAATTGAAGATATTCATCAAAAGTTGTATGATACTTTGTATACCAACATCAGCAATACATACCATGACTTAGAAGAAAAACTACATAAATTGACTGATGAAATTTCGAATAACCAAGATCAGCAATTACAATATCAACAAAGAACAGATGATAAGTTGGACCAAATTCATCAGCTTCTGTTGAATATGAATAATCAACAAAACCCAACTGTGTTGCAACCAGAAGCAACTCCATCATTTAACAGGGTAGGAACAGTTGTCCAGAATTTTGAACAA